CGTAGAGCTGTCTGGATAGTCGTCACATGTTATCATAGAAGCGTACGGAGCACTCCGTACTGAGTAGTTGGAATTCGCTTCAAGAAACGCACTCTGGGCTCGCCCCGCGCGACCTAAGAGCTCTGCTTGGCATGCTACCTTTATAGCTCTTCAATTTGTCACGACGTTCGGAGCCGTCAGCTATACATCTTCATTGTCTTTTGACCTGGCAAATCCATTGCATTTCTAGGCATAGAGACAGTATGATTGATCAGTCCATTTTTGAAGACCTTCAGTCAAAAATTGACGAGGAGAGTCAGATCCGCGATGTAAGTTTCGCATCCCAAACGTCCCCATTATCTCGGGATATTCTAAGACAAACAATCCAGGAGCTCCAAGAAATTGTGCAAGCTCTTTCTCGCCGTGGTGTGTTTTGAATCAGAACTGTTAGGTGGAGAGCCATCTAATAAGATATTTTGTCAGGGAGAAATACACAAGCCATATTGTCAAGAGCTCATTATACCCCAGAGGACAAATGTAGGTCTAGATGCTGAGCTTCTGCTCCCCATACCCCCGCCTATGCCTCATCACGGACGGCTAACTCATGATTTTGTGAGATAGTGAAACCCGTCCTTGATGAGACCTCAAATGCAATCAAAGAACAGAAAAAAGATGTCACGAGACTCGTCTCCGTCGCTGCAAAACATCCCTTCTATAAGTTTAATCATATATGGACGCGCGAATTGCAAAACTTAGTGAGTTCGATTCCGTCGGGGGCTGTAGAGCTGTTCTAAGGGTGCTATCTCATCACAGGTCTTCTCTATCCAGTTTTGCTCTTGGCTCGGTGGCCTTGAGGATTACCGTGAAGGGAAAACCGGTTTTTTGACGATTGAAGAAGTTGGAAAGTTTTTAGATGGTATGTCCCTGCTAGCACTGACCCGCGAAACGAAACGTTAATTGTACCCTGAATCAGTGCCTGTGAACCTGAAGGACCAAGATGCCTTTCATCTGACAATAGAAGAATACTTACTGGCATTGATAAACCTCGTTGAGGAATTGGTAAGCTCACTCTTCAATTCGCCAACGTTATGTAAATCGTGGACAGCCATCTTTTGGCTTTCGGATTTTGTTGACGGTTCACACTTCTCCACAGACCCGATTGGCTGTCAATGCGGTGACACTGGGTGATTACTCTCGCCCTCTTAAGATCAGTGCCTTCGTTTCTGAAATCCATTCCGGGTTTCAGCTTCTTAATCTCAAGAATGATATTCTCCGAAAGAGAAGCGATGGCATTAAGTATAGCGTACGTTTCCGAGAAGACTAATATCTCTACCTTCCTTGCTTCAGCCTTAGGTTTGCGGGTTCAGGACTGATAGAAAAATGCCAACTTGCAGGTTAAGAAAGTCGAGGATGTCGTCTACGATCTGTCACTACGAAATTTGATACCAAAATCCTCGGAGATTTCTTGATTTGCTAGTCATCGAGTCGTAATCAAACGCAATGCTGAGCAGAACAAGACCAACAAGCTCGTTCATGAACCAATCTAAGGACTTTTTGTGAGGAACTATCGAAGAGTATGTTAATACAGGATAGGCTTCTTTATTCGCAGTTCAGCTAACAAGGTTGATAGAAATGTCGAAATGTCATTGTGGCTAAGGATAAATTGTCGTAGGAACGCGATGGAGGGGAGCTGCCTAGCTAGAATACCATACCTAGGGTATAGCGATATTACATGGGGGGAAAAGATGGGATGAAGCATTAAGACATTGAATGAAACCAACTTATTATTGTAACACCATCATAACAATTTGCAGTCCGAAAGGTGGGGATACAGTAACACCAGTAGCGGGGAGATAGCCCTGCTGATCCTGCATGTAGTGATCCATACAGAGTATTTCTTTTTCATCCTACAGCGAAGTCCTTCCTCCTTTCTCCATCTTTTCGATCTCCTTTAAGATTGGCGCCTCCAAGGACTCTGGCTTTGTAATACTCGCCCACCTTCCAACGACCTTCCCGTCTGCACTGATCAAGAACTTTTCAAAGTTCCACTTGACCCTCTTCAGGCCCATAAGGCCAGGCATTTCCTTCTTCATCCACTCAAATACCGGTGCCGCTTTATCGCCGTTGACATCGACTTTGCCGAGAATGGGGAACGTCACGCCGTAATTGACCTGGCAGAAGGACTGGATTTCATCGTTGGTGCCAGGGTCCTGAGAACCGAATTGGTTGCAGGGGAAACCGAGAACAGTGAATTTGTCTGGATAGTCGGCGGAGATCTTCTTGTAGAGAGCCTCTAGGCCTTGGAGTTGCGGGGTGAAACCGCATTTGGAGGCGGTATTGACGACAAGGATTACCTTGCCTTGGAGGGAGGAGAGGGGGAAAGGTTCGCCCTTCTCTGTTGATAAATTTGGGTATGGTTAGCCGGGAATTTGCGTGTTGTTTGGGGGCTGGGAGTGGGACTTGACGTACTGTCGGGGGTCGCAAAGTCGAAGAAGCTGGTTGCTGAGGACATGTTGGCGGTGCTAAACCTGCGGAAAGCGCTTGAAATCGCAACTGAATACGCAAATCGTCGAAGTGGTCTGAATGGTTGATTAGATGATGGGATATAAAGGGGTGTTGCAGTGGAAGGAATATTCCTAATTCGAAGAAAATCAAGGTCCTTTGGCTACAGAATGTACCTGGTTTGTAGCACAGGTGATTCGCGCCAGACGGAACCTCGGGAGCCAGATGCGTGATCAACTGGACAGGCGAGGGGTAAACTCACAGCATGCAGATTTCTAAAATCCAGGAGTACTGCAAGGAAGCGTCCAGAGCATTCACTATTATAAAGCACAGCTTCGCATCAACTATAATTCGCTGAAGCGCTGAACGTTTTTGGCACTCGATGCGCCCTGGCCATGACGTAAGTCGGCTGGGGAGCTGCTCGAAACTCTCCGAGGTACGGAGTGGGAGGCTCGCCCGTAACTCGAATACGTCAACAGACATCTAGATCCCCGGACATTCCTAGGTATCTCGACGATCTTCATGAAAGCGCTCGGGAACAGGTTAAGATCGTCACAGAGCTCATGTATGGAGGAAATCTTGCGGAATCTCGCCGATCCCAGAAAGATGTTCAGCATTCGAACGGAATCCCGGATCAGCAATGTATTGCGCTTTCGGGTTGTTTTACATTTTACAAATAAACGAGTGGTATGGAGTATTCCGTATATTAATTACGGGGTACTCCGTATATTTAATATCATTATGAAGTGTGACCTGGCTTCTTCTGGGTGGCCTGTCGAAAGAAATTGAACCGACGGGAATAATCTCTCCATATCATCCGAAAAGAGTGCTGAGTAGCGTTACAGGATGAAATACGAGCAAGCCGTCAACCAAATGATATCAATAAGTAGTCAATAATGTTGGGGCACTGCGATGCTGTTCATTCAATACAGCCTCTCAGGCATATGACGCTGATCCCTTGCTTTGGGTACTCCGTGGAGGAGAAAAATATGCAATATAGCCTCTTTCCACAACGACGATGTGACCATGAGCAGTCTTGGACAGAGTTTGAGATCTCAGATCAAAGGGAGCTTTTTTTCCATGTAATTTTTCTCCTGATGCATAAATTGGAATTGCACACGCTGGGGAACGGACTGCTCGATGACTGACTGAAGAGAGAGGGACAACTTCCCTCGCCACCAGATTTATAGGGGGGGAAAAAAACAAAATATTCACTCAAATTACAACGGACGTTTTTCAACTGATATATCTGTCCCGCAATCTGAGCGCTTTGTCGATTTCAAGAAGGTCTTGGAAAATAGCTGCTTTTGTCGTTTGCTGGGGGTCGAGGCCGGCGGTTGTGCCCTAAACCCTAACTCGACCCAGCGCCAAGATTTCCACCGTCCAACCCACCAAAGAAGCGCCGAGAGCTTCGAATTATCAACACCAAGCGCGCATTTTTAACCCATCCATCCTCCCGCTCGTCACCGCAGGATAATCACCTCTTTGCGGACTCTACTCCAGTCAAAAAGAACTTTTTGCCCTTCCCCGTCGTCACAATGGCCCCTGCAACTGTACGTTCTTCCACGAACAACCGCTTTGCTGTTCCGCCTTGAATATCTCTTTTGCCCACGACCTCGCTGTCATGGGTTAAAATGAGAAAATCTCGGCATTTAGTTTTCACATCTAGGAGCAGTAGGCTAACGATTGGTATTTTCCCATGCGATTAAATAGGCCCGTAAGCCGCAAAAGGTCACGAAGAAAGTACGTTCTTCCATCCATTCCATCGTGTTGCGCTGTGAGTCCGTGCTAACAAGCTTCCTTAAACGATTAGTTCGTGATCAATTGCTCTCAACCCGCCAACGACAAGATCTTCGACGTTGCCGCCTTCGAGAAGTTCCTCCACGACAGAATCAAGGTCGAGGGCCGTGTTGGCAACTTGGGTGACGCCGTCCAGATCTCCCGCTCCGGCGATGGAAAAGTCGAAGTTGTCACCCACATCCCTTTCTCCGGCCGCTATCTCAAGTACTTGTACGTAAAATATCTGTTCCAATCGCGCTGATAAAGGAAGAAGAGGACAAGAGTTAACAGCGCTATGCACTCCTATAGGACCAAGAAGTTCTTGAAGAAGCAGCAGCTCCGTGACTGGCTCCGTGTCGTCTCTGCCGCTAAGGGTGTCTATGAGCTCCGCTTCTATAACATTGTGAACGACGAGGCTGAAGAGGAGGAGGACTAAGCTTCTGTAACGTCTAGTACCCTGTGACGTGCCAATGGGTTTCGAGCCAATAAAGAGATGAACGAACTTGGTCGTCAAATTCGAACGATTAGGGTGGGAATGGCGTCGCGAAACGCCGGGTTATTCTTACCATTTTAATGACAGCGACGCGAGAATATCTAACTCGCTTGTATGGCTTCATTACGAACATGACCCAACGTTTTGTATCTCTAACGGCCCAATAAAATTGGTTTCTAGTCTCATATTTTACTTCATCCCTTATATTCTAAGTCGTGAGATTCGTAAATTTGCATATTATAAAATATTATGCTTTGGCTTCCTTGGTCTGATCATAACTTGTCCTCTTGGAACCTGCACCAATCCCCAGGGCTGCAGTTCCAGCTGCAAAAGGTTTGATGTTGACTTTGTTGGGTTCTGGCTCTATCAACGCGCCATCTTTGATCGTATACCCGAGGGCCTTTAATCTCGTCCACGTCTCCCGTACTTTAACCCTGACCAGGTCACCTGTAGCTTTGGCGTCCTCCATTGAGTCATGTCCCTGGTCTCCGGCGGCTTGAATGTGTCTGTCCAGATATTTCTTCGAAAGAGTCCTGAGTCCAAAGCGATAAGGTAAACCTCCTGGATGCGGATATAGGAGAACCGTATCAACGATTGTTGGGTGAATGATGCGGCAAGCATTTAGATCATTGTCGATTGCGTGCCCAATTACTGGGGTATCAGGCTGTAGATGTTCAAACAAGAGTGCTCTGGCAGCCGCCGGAGACTCAACGATTGGCAATACAAAGTTGACAGATTGCGGTCCACTGCTAGCTTGGGCTCGCGCCTGCTCAGATCCATATGGGACGGCATTTGCAAAGTGTTCTGGACGCACGCCAGAATAGCGCGAATTGAGGTCCAGAACTTCTCCCATTGGCCGAACGAGGACATCAAGTACCTTCTTTTGGTCTGGCCAAGTGATCGCTGTTAATCGGATGAGCTCTAGCCCCAAAGTTGTGTAACCCATCTCGCAATCAAAGCATATCGGAGGCAGCAGCCCCTTGTCAGGCTGTGCAGGAGTTTTCTCAAATTGCAGAATCGCAGCCAGCCTCTTGACCTCCGTCACTTTGAAGACATGGGACTCGGCTTTGGTACATCCCGCCGAAGTACCAACCGCCTCGTTGCAGCATGGAAAATATGGCTCTGTTTGGCCAAGAATATGGTCAGTTTTCTTTTTCGGCGGACGAACAAGCCGTGCATGGTGATACGTGCAGGGCCCTCCTGATGCTAAAAGGCCATCCTCTCGTCGTCCGGGAAAGACCTGGAATCTCCCACTACATCGATCGCATTGTTCCCAACCTTGTGCCGTTATGTTCCCCTTAGTGGCATTCTTGATATCTTCTTTCGAAGGAGCCACGATAACATAACCCGCTTTGGCTTGTGCTTCTGGAGATGCGAGAAATCTGGAAAGCATTACGATCTCTCCTTGAACATCCAATCCAGTCAAGATAGGCTCTGGTTGGGGTTTCAAGGGCAGGACTTGCGTGTTCTTTGGCCGTAGATAGTTTAAGACATCTTCTTCCCAATCACTCAACTTCATCTTCCTGAGCTTCGTAATACGGAGCTTGATGACATTTGAGTAGACAGAAGACGACTCTCTCGCTGCCTTTTCTTCTTCATCTAATGCTCGGGATATGAGCTCGTCCTCGGATAGAACGAGAGCTTTTTTTGATTGCTCCTTCAGAGCGAGAAGCTGATTGTTGAGTCGAACCATTTCTTCATGTAGTTTAGCGAGAACGGATGCACGTGTCGAATGCGCTGCCGGAGGCTTAGACAAGTGTCGGGGATTCAAAGTCTCCTTTTTTACCTGCCTAGGCTGCGTTGAAACAGGAATGGATGTAGTATCTGATGGCTTCTGATTTTGAGAGCCCACAGGAGGTCGATGGTGCCCTTGCGGAGACGTGTGACGGCTGATCGAAGGAGAGACAGGCTTTGATACGGATGTTAGACCTTGAATCTCATTTGACGATTTTTCCTTCTCGTTGATTTGCGGGTCCAAATTCGGGATACTATTATTTGGGCTTGTCCCATGTCTTTTAGCTTTATCCACAGACTTCAAGGTGCTATGGCCGTCTGCATCAAGGCGTCTTTTTTTAGGTAAAGGCTCTTCATTCACATATGTAGCATCTGCATTCAGAACCACGCCCTCGTTTGTTGATTTAGGGGTAATGAAACTGCTAGTTTCTTTGTCTTCATGAGCGAACATGCAGTTTAGGAGTTTGCAACCCGTCCCTTCAGGACAACTAACTGCCTTGAAAACCCCAACTGAGTTAAACATTCTGAAGGTTTCTCAACTTCTGAGACAACGGGAAGGAAATTAACGACAATGTATATCCAAGGTTTTCTGTGCTTTCAGGACCGTGTCCTCCCGATGCTGGTTAGTGCACAAAATAGACACCTGTAGCCTGCGTCTAGCGCAACTATCCGGCACGTTTGAGGTTGTTCTAGCCTTCTATGTCAGTTTCACCTGCCCTAGCACCATTAGATAATAAGCCTATGATCTGTGCCGGGAATATCAGAGTCAAGCCGTGGTGATAATTATTTCCATTCACTCAGATCGGTTTTCATGGGATACATGTGTGACCCAATGGCATGCAGAGGATCCAGCTCCAGAGACTGGTTGGTAATTTGAGCGACGGCGCAAAGTACGGAGTGAGAAGTCAATTATCCCGGGTAAAGGGCTTTTCCACATCGCAGTTGGACGAACCTCAGAGGGGTTATCTATGAGAAGACTATGAGAGAACATTAGCACTAATGCTGGCAAGTCAAAGAGAAAGAACATGGGTAAGCTGGTCAGCTGCGGCTGGATAAACAGTCTAGGAAGAACAAACATGACTCACAGTATAGATCCAAATTCACACCTTTAGGATTGCTGCGCAGATACCAGTCAAATAGAACTTGTAGTAATTATCCAAGAGCGGTAGTGCAGCTTGTCATTCGAGCTACTCGGGCCTAGTCCACCAATAAGCCTAAATTCCACTCGAGAGCAATCTGTTGATATGCCTCGACGTTGAGGCAGGCAGGGTGAAAACGGTGCAAACATTCAGCTCCCGATCCGCAGATCATTCCGGATTTACAAATATCCGGGATTAGTCAGAGTAGACATGCAGAATACAACTCCTCTACGGAGTAGTTACAGAATACTCCGTAGTGTCTTTTTATCTCATGATAATTACTCTTGATGTTAGAATTTTGGTATGGTTGAACTACGAAACCCAGTCTCATGAAATGTTTACAGCCTCTCTCCCCAGGTTCCATATTTTAATTACAATGCTGGCCATCACACAAAGGCGAGTCAGGCCTACAATTGAGCGTCCTATTTGTACTGATTGTTTTGCTGTTTAACTTGCCGGTTATAAGCGCAAGGCCTGATATTCTCACAGTTGTTGGCCGGCGAAACGGCTGGTCTGCCTGAAAGTATGTCATTTGGACATAATACAGGCTTGAGCCAATTTTGATCACTTCTACACGAGGCTGGTTGCTTTCATGTCTTGATGACCTTACCATTTCTGCAAGGAATTATTCATCAAATTGTGGGTCATGATAGTTACCCATAGGCCAGAATCAGTCTCCAAGATACTGGTTGAAGCAGGGATCCCCAGATCTTTTCCCGCCTCATCAAAAGGCAACACAGACAAATTTGCGCACAAAGCAGACCATTTGAACAATCATGATTCTCTGCCGCAGACGGCCTACACTTGTTGATAAAGACACAGTTCATTCTATAGGTAATCATCTGTGAAACCTGTGGCTTATCTGGGTCAGCTGCCAGATATTATCAATTCAATTGATATATTGTCGCTAATCCTTGTATGGGGAAACATCTTATTGTAACCCTGATGGGACCAGTTAAAATTGCTTTATGGTATTGAAGCGGGTAAACATGCCAGCAATAACTCTGCTCCCCTTCGGTTAGCGAGTACAAATTGATTTTATATTGTCAATAGTTGCCGAGAACGGCCCATCAGGTTATACCCCCGTTCCGAGAGCCATGGCCATATCGACCGATAGTTATGGTATAAAAGAAACATGGCCCACATTCACAAAGCCGCCGCAGGATCGATGATACACGAGTTTTGGGAATAGGTTGGCCTATAACTTTGCTGTTCTTGAGCCTCAGAGACCGTGCATCAGGCACGATTCGACTTTAGCATTTCCTGGAACCTTGCTTTTACTATCATGGCTGCCATTTTCAAAGCTTCTCTTGTCGCCTTTGCGACGTTGGCGTCCTGCACCGATGCTAGCAAGCTGCTTGGGTTTGAGAACAAGAGACACATCATTCCGAACTCCTACATCGTGGCGCTGAAGGAAGGTCTCCAGGAGCGTGATTTTGAAACCCATATGGCGTGGGTATCTGATGTCCATTCCGCAAACGTGGCATTAGCCGGAGGCGCTTCGACATCTGGAGTAAAGCACACTTTCAAAATCAATGGCTGGAAGGGGTATAGTGGAAGCTTCGACGAAAACACGCTTCACGAGCTCATTACCAATGAAAATGTGAGATTGTAATCCTTCCAGTCGAAATATCAGGCTCACAGTGTCCCCCAGGTCGATTATATCGAGCCGGATCGCATGTCACACATAGCATCTTTGGATCGTAAGTTTGCTCTGGAAACTCAGAGAAATGCGCCATCCTGGGGTCTTGGAAGAGTCTCCCATAGGCAAGGAAATAGCCGTGACTATGTGTATGATTCCACTGCTGGAGAGGGTGTGACGGTATATAGCATCGATACGGGAATCGATATCAAGCACCCCGACTTTGAGGGGCGCGCATCCTGGGGAATCAACACCGTAGATGACATTGATGAGGACGGGCATGGCCATGGGACCCACACTTCCAGTACGATTGTTGGAAAGACTTACGGTGTCGCCAAAAAAGCCAAGATCATTGCTGCTAAGGTCTATGATGCTCGAGGCCGCGGCCCTGATAGTGCAACTCTTAAAGCAATTGAGTGGGCAGTGGATCATGCCCAGAAAAACAATCACACCGGTAAAGCAGCCATGAACTTGAGTTTGGTTACCGACAGCCCCCGGGCAGTGAATGCAGTTTGCACAAAGGCTGTTGAAGCCGGAATCTTTCTTGCTGTTGCGGCCGGGAATGACAACGTGAGCGTTCAAGACCACTCCCGCAGGATATATTCTCTAACATGCAATAGAGGGCCGTGACCAATGAATCTCCAGCTTCGGCAGACAAGGTTTGTACTGTTAGTGCTACACGTCTGGGCGATCAGAAAGCAGGCTTTTCAAACTACGGCCGCCTTGGTTAGTCCAACCAGTCACAATTCATATAACTACTCGAAGCTAATCGAACATCAAAACCCCAGTTGCTCTCTATGCCCCCGGTCAATCAATCACAGCCGCGTTCCCCAATGGCCGCACCGGGACCATTTCTGGCACTTCTATGGCCGCTCCTCATGTTTGCGGTGTTGGTGCGACTATCATGGCCCTCGAAGGTGTTACGCCTCAGAAACTTTGCGACCGCCTCAAGCAACTTGCACACCCTTCTGTTAGGAATCCGGGACCCAACACTACCAACAAGCTTCTCTATAATGGAAGTGGCCAATAGATGGAGGGCAATAGCTTGCACAGTGGATGTTTCTCACGGTTTCGATAAGGCTTGCTCTATTTATGGATATGTGTATTCATACTACACTAAGAGTTAGGGTGGTTGCCCACTTCCCATTGAATACATGAAAATCCTAAATTACAACACTCTTTATTCGCAAATATATTTGTTATTTTCAGCTTCTGGGTTGAATATACCGATCACCAATGGGTAGTTGACATTGGAATTAGGTCCCAGGTCAGGGTTTTGAGTTTTCTAGAGGCCATTTCTTCAGAGGACCATGTTCGCTTCTTGGCTTATCTTCGCCAAATTGATGCGAAACTCGGGGCACTTCAGAGAAGGAATTCTCAGTAAGTCGACCATAGAAAACCTCCAGGGTAATTTCTTCGGCTTGACGGGAGCTAATCTTCAGAACCATGTAAGTTCAACTATGGAAGCGCAAGGCTAAAACTTATAAAAGGCCCAATACTACCTTGAGTGGACGTGGTAAGCAGAGTCCTTTAGAGCTCCCCAGCGATGTCGTTTGGTGATAGAGGCCTTCACTATTCTTCCCAACGTTGGCTTGACTCGAGATAACCCGGGAGAGATTACCTGCTAATTAATACCTGCATATTGGTGGAAGGACTCATACCTTCAGGGTTCAATCTAGAGGAGTTTAAACGCAACTGCTACATTGCAGTGGTTAGCGATCCTAACTTCAATATGGCTCAGCGGGTAAGTCAAATCAGATTACTCAAGCACTGCAGTGGCTTTGATCTCAGGTGTCGCCGGTTATGGTAATTCCAACAGTGAGTCCTTTATCGCGCCTGATCTTACTGCGCGCTCGAATAACTGGGATTACCAATTTCCCCTAGTGACGAGCATCCAGTTTTGCGGCAAGTCCTTAAAATTGGCTGACATGGCTTTATGTGCTGCTAGCTATCTAAAGCCAGTAGGCCTCCATAATCTTGGCCTGAAAAGACTCCAGCTCCTCGAAGGTAGTACAGTACAGATTGGCTGAGCGGAAAGATTGCTCAACAGAGATAGTAGCAGGCTTGCTAACATTTTGGAGAGATGCTATACATGAAAACCATGTGGGAAAACCGGTTTATAGATCGATATAATATTTTCTGGACGAATGCCAAATGAAAGTTATTTGACGTTTCGGAAATTCAGGATTCTTGAGATCCACTCATCATTGCGCATTGAGTTCTGAACTCTGCCGTGACGGTGACTCCATTTTGAAAAGTCAAGAGTGTAGGCAGCCGAGGGACTGGATTCTGCTGTGTTATATCACTCAGTATGCCTGTAGCCAACTTCACCTAGGAAATGGGAGGAGGATTTGGTGGTTGATTCAAGCAGTTGGGATGTCGTGCTCACACCATGAGGAAATCCTGCGGCGGCCCCTTTGAACCTACGCGAAGAGAATCAAGATCGAGAAAGGGCAACTAGGAATATTCTCCAAGAATCGGTTCTGGCCATCGTATCCTGTTTAGTGAAGGTAGTCGGCTGTTTCAAAAGAACAGCGTTTTCACCCTTGGAAGTCTCCTCAAACCTGCTTTCTCGATCAATACGACCAACAGCATTGAGGCCATGGCTAGAATGGGTTTCATATCGAGTAATAGTAGGATAGCCCGAACCAAGTTCTATTTGGATGCGGCGATGTAAGACTGACTGAAGAAAGAGCACTCTGAAAGAGGGCTTTACCACCTTCGGTACAATTCCGAAGTAATTGATGAATAATAAATGCTAGGGAAGTGAGCTATACGACATTGATCGTATAGCTGCAATAGTGGCGAGGGGTGAGAGGGAATAAGTGCGGCACTGCTGTCGCATTCTTCCTGCCTGTCTCGCTTTAATGAGAGGATCTCAACCTCACGAAATCAGTTCAATTACGATAGTCCAATTTTATGATGTTGAGAGCATGAGAAGAGCAAGCCAGCTTTAGCTTGTTAAACTGCAAAGTAACTACTGAGTACTCCGCATTTATACACCCATGTAACTGGAGTATGTCCACTCAATGTTCCCCTCTGGATGTGATTCAACGGGAAGATTTGGTGGTAATCTTGTTTAAGTCCTTTATAGATCTCTTCGTCATCTTCGAACTGGTGTGCATCCCTGGTTCGAATGGTTGGAAAGTTGGTCACTGTTTATTTGCCGGGAATAAATTAGTAAACCGCACATACATTCCAGCAGCTTCAAAAGTTTCGATAATCTAAAACAATACATCTCTATTATGTCAAAAATGAGGACTATTCTTAGACACCCTATGCAGTATCAGAAATGGAAACCCGAAGAAATAGGATTGGCTAAGTATCAGGCAAAGCGAGTTTGCACGTAACCTTCTGACAACCGCTAGCTGGCCTGCCGAGGTGGGCCTCTTGAGAGAGCATTACTACCATCAACAACCACTCAATTAGATAAGAATAGAGAGCAAATTTTTGGCACAAGCGCCCTTGAGCCAAGATAGGTACGTATTATTATACGCATTTGTTTTTTGAACGAAACATACTCCTCGTTCGAAGCCAATGGCGACCAATGCAGGGCCTATGGGCATCATTTCGAATGACCCACCCCGCAAATCAAAAATAGGACCTCCGGTTCTAAGCAGAGGTCCTCCTGGGCTTGCTTTGGGAGAAAAAAAAGAAAATGGCTAACATGGTTAACGTCTTCCATAGCGAGTCCAACAGTAGCTGAGGCCTGCTCGCTGTACTTGGGCCAGTCCCCAACTTCAGCAAGCAGGCTTTCAATCACCGGAAGTGATGAACAACCATAGAACCAATGCAAAACCAGGATCAAACCCCCCTAGGCCCCCTCCTTTACCTATCCATATCTGTTTGAGCGGCGTGGAAAGGTTCGCGATTGCCCAAGGCCGGATCGGAGTAACCAGCAGCCGAGCAAAAGGAGGCGGGGTAGTTAATGGCAGGCAAAGGAGGGGCAGAGAGCGTGGGCTGGCGGAGATCTCGCATTATCACTCTCATCGGCGTTGAATAAAACTTTCAACCCTAGATAAAGCTGCTTGCATTCTTTGATGGGGTCGAAGGAGCTGAATCCTCCAATTTGCCATTCAGCTCTTTGATATGTGCAAATACAAGACACCTCCGGCACAGGACGCCCGACGTCACCAGGTTCAACACTCAGGCTTACCTTTCCTTGGCCTTTTCAAGTCCTAAGACGAGAACGGCAAAAGGAAGATGGGAATTCCGTTAGATTCAGCCGATCATCTTATTGTTCTCTTTGCGAGTATCCACACGTAATTGGGATACAGGCCGGGAAGCTTGAGGTCCGTCTGACAATTGAGCAGAGTTCCCTGTGGAGTTTGGGCTCTGCTTCACCACCATATGGCCTCCGAAGCCCTCCGCTTGTGGCGGCCGACCCCGCTCGGGAGAGTCATTCAAAAGGGCTATGGCTTCCCCAAGAACGTTTCAATTTTATAAAACCGGAATGCGAGTAGACTGTACTACGTACGGCGAGACTACACCTAAGGAGCGATATTTCTCACGTCAAAGAGCACGGTTAACACCGCAATCACCAGCCATGTGCTCTGACGCGGGAGGTTTAACAATCGTCGTGGGGAATCGGGACCCCAGCTTCTCCACCCACCACCCCACCTCGTCGCAGTGTGCAAGCATCATCGTTTATCCGTTGGACAATGTTCCGTCCTTTGCTCGTCGAGGGCTCTCAACTCGGCCGGTTTCCGGAATTTCAGCAGGGTTGATACGCCCACAAGTGCGGCGCAGCCATGCAGCAATAATCCTCGAACTGCCACAGCCGACATGTTGTTATTTGACAAGCATGAAACAGACGTGTTTGACTTCGAGGGTTTCCCGATGATAAGCAAATATGCGTGATACCCCACCTCCCTTCAAGGGTGAATCTCTTGGACCTCACATCATGTTGTTCTGCGGAGAAGCCTCAACGGCCACATGTTGCTTTGCGCAGTCAAAGCGCCGGGCAACACTTTCGATCCCCGCAGCTTCCCTTACATATTAATCACTGCATGGACGAAGGACCCAGGAGCATGAATCTTCGTTTTTTCGATGATCACAGAAACTCTTCTCTCGTATTTAACTTTCTCAAAAAATCATCCCTCTCCACCCTAGTTTTCCCTGTCACATTAGTACTTTCCCGTCAACTCGCATGGACTGTGAGACTACCTCCCTTTTACTTCATCGGCCCCAATCAATATGGCTCCTGAGATCGTTTGCCAAGGTGATTCCTGTGAGGAAAGGCAACTTAAGGACTCTTGACTGGAAATTATGAAACGATTCGTTTATCCGCGGACTATTAACTCATGTTTCGATATTTTTGCTGACCATGGACCTCAGAATTTCACCAAGGTGGGACGGAGAACATCTCCTCCCAATCGGTCCTTGTAGGGCTGTGGATCAAGATCCACAACTAATGGTAACTCCACCCTTCGGCGTGTCGCATCCTCAAGCGGGAAGCGAGGAGGTCGACAAATTTGGCATTCTTACCAGCGGTCCCTAGCCGCATTTCCACCAGATATCGGACAATCGGTTTCTCTCGACAAGCGATTCTAGCAACCATGGCTCCTCCTACCCATCAGCTCGCAGAGCCACATCTTGCCGAGAGACCCTCCTGTCGGGATCCCTCCAACGAAAAAATTAAAAGATTGAGCCTGTTGCCACGCACCGCCACGCTCGGTGCCACAACCGTCTGGTGACGTCATTTTGATATGTGCGGGTTAAGGCTTGGCGCTAATCTCACTTAACCACCTCTGGACTAGCCTGCTAGTGCCAAGGCCGAGAAACAGTGGGCCTTCTGTGGTGGGAGATACGACTCTGGATGGATAGGAATATCGCAGGCAACCGCACCCATGAGCATATCGGATAGTTTGGCTTGTGCACAGAGTGGAGTTGGGCGATCGGACGAAAATGCTCGGGATATTTTGTGAACAAATAACAAGGAAGGGCAGGGATGTGCCCGAAAAATGCCACCAGATATGCAACCGTGTGTTACAACAAGCTAACCATCCATTTTGCGACGGAGAAGTAGAGCCAATCATGTCTCCGGGAAAGCTGAGATATGAGAAGGCAGCTCACAGAGTCTGCAGCGCTGGGAGGCGGGAAGTCAGAGCTGCTGTCAACTTGGAAAGGCCTCCCTGACACACCCTTTCCACAGCCGCAAGCGCAACACCGAAGGCCCTGCTGGTTGTCCATCTCCCGTGCCACGGGGCATTTACCAACATCTCCGGTCCAATTGGAACCACTGTTCCCCTGGTTTCACCAATCAAAGGTGCTGGGACCATGGTCAATCATTCCTTACACCTCAATAATGGTGTGCAACCTGAAAACACTGGATGTTGCCTGCTCCTGGTTGAGGAGAAATAGGTACAGCGCGGCATGCGCGCAAAGGCAAACACAAGCATGTACCAATGCTCCGTACTCCCCTTTTTTTTTTGGTTGGAGGGGCGTGGTTCAGGGCCCGCTTGTCCCTGACTCAGGATCCTTCTTGCACAAAATTCCGGTCCACAACGAAATGCCACGCACATGACATCATAAGGTACTCAGTTCAGGCTGCCGATATTTTGCACAGTCAGGAAGTTGTGGAAAGGAAAGTCAACATTTGCCTACGATCTTTTTTGCTTTGGCAAGGTAGAACGGCCAGCCAATGAATGGGTGTACATCTTAGCTTTTCGAAAACCCTTCTTTGCTGCGAACCTATCAACTTTATGACATTTGCCTCTTTTCCCCTTCCGCACTCGGTGTGGATTTGTTTTCATCGGAGGGAAATTCAAATTCGTCGGTATCGAATGAAATCACATCATACCCACCATCCGGCCCACAGTGGCTTGGTTAGTTGCTGTATCGGGTGGATCGTTTCACGAAACTTCATGGTTCAGCCCAGGTATCCTGCCTCATCCGTCCGGTCAAGCACGTTGACGTTAAGATGAAGTCAGTGGAGACTGCAAAATAATAATGGAGACGGTTGAGGTAGAGAACTACGCCGGATTACATTATCACACTTGCCTTTCTTCTGAACGCTGGTTCAACCCCGTCGAGCGGCTATCCCGGGACTGGGGAAAGCTATATATACCCTCTTTTTCGCCCCGCTGTGCGTCACTTTGGTTGCTTTCAAGAATTCCGCGGCCTTTTCACCCAAACGCAGCATCCCATCGTCGAGATATCCACGTTATTGGACCTCTCAGTCGACCGGTTTCGGCTGAGTTGCGAAATAGTTCATCGACCTTCCCTGGCTGAATAAGGACTCGCCACATTGTTTCCTGGGGAATATATAACCTTCCCTCGTCAGGAACGAGTTTCAAAACGCCTTGCATTTGCCTTTCGCTATATTTTTGTGACTTCTGTTTCAGGAACCGTGTTCGACCCATCTCGACACTATGACTACTGCCGATTACAGATCCCATACGTCGGGCGGCCACGTCCGTCGGCTGTCCAATGTTGAAGCTTCTGGGGCAGACCTCATTGGCGGGCCCAATGTTATCGTGCCTCCGAAGCACTTGATGGCTAAGAGCGATGCCTACGAGACTGCAAAGACTATGGAACTTGCGAAATATCACCTCGAAGAGGACATTTCCTCAGCCGAAACAACTCCAAGAGCCGCATCTCCTATCTCAGCCCAGCCACTCACAACAACAGATCGATATGCCTTCGCTTTTGATATTGATGGTGTGCTGGTTCGAGGAGGCAGAGCCATTCCTGCAGCTATTGAAGCTCTGAAGGTTCTGAATGGACAGAACGAGTACGGAATTAAAGTGTAAGTCCTCACACTAATTTTGGTCTTTTTTATCAAGCTGTTGACAAGACGGGATGTCTAGACCGTACATCTTCGTGACAAACGGTGGTGGAAAGACGGAAGAAGAGCGCTGTCTCGATCTCAGTCGACAACTTGAATACGAAGTTTCCCCGGGGCAGTTCATCTGCGGCCATACACCAATGCGAGAAATGGCGGAGAAGTACAAAACTGTCTTGGTCGTCGGTGGAGAGGGCGAGAAATGCCGTGTTGTCGCCGAAGGGTACGGATTCAAAGACGTTGTGACTCCTGGAGATATCATCAAGCATAACAGACACACTACTCCTTTCCGGGAACTTACTGAAGAGGAGCTTCGCAATTCTCGAACTAGGGATTTTTCTGACGTCCAAATTGAAGCTATTTTTGTTTTTGCGGATAGCAGAGACTGGGCGGGAGACCAGCAGATCATTCTCGATCTATGCATGTCCAAAGGCGGGCGGATAGGAACAAGGTCCGAGACGTTTGATGAGGGCCCACCGGTTTACTTCTCCCACAACGACATCGTCTGGTCCACATCGCACGAGTATACACGGATTGGCATGGGCGCTTTGAGAGCCTCGACCGAAGCTCTATTCAAAGCTGTTACCGGAAAGGAGTTGCAAACAATTGCTTTTGGCAAGCCACAGATTGGAACATTCCAGTTCGCCACGCGGCTTCTCCAACAATGGCGAAAAGAAACTCACGGTATCAACTCACCCCCAGAAACTGTGTATTTCGTCGGAGACACCCCTGAATCGGATATCCGCGGTACAAACGAGTACAACGACTCCGAACTCTGTGAAAACAATTGGTACTCTATTCTCGTGAAGACCGGTGTATTCCAGGATGGTACTGTTCCGCGATTCGCCCCACAAAAGATCTGTGGTGACGTTCTGGACGCCGTCAAGTTCGGTATGAAGAGAGAGTACATAGATGCCTTGAAGCAGTCTACTGTTGCTCCCGTACAGCAAGGAACCGAAGGAGCCACTAAAGAGGTGTGACGACAAGAATCCTTTACAATTTTTACACCAACTTGCTTTTCGAGAGACGCTATTCACGATGTGACGATCTAACTACTGGATACGTATAATACGGCCTGTGTATCCTGACACCACCTGCAAATTTGTGATTCCCCATTTGATATTGCGTTTTCATTAACTCTGCTTATTTTCCTTAGCCTTTTTCTTTCCTTCTTTTCCCTTTTTCTTTTCATTTCTTTTCACTTTTTTTTCTTTATTATTATTATTTTTTCGCGGCTGGTGGAATACCTTTTTCGAGACTTCTGCTATGTATAGAATATGAAAACCAGACAGGCAGACAAAGGAACATAGAACTCTGTCTAGAACACAGTTGGTTGCAACGGATTTATACACCATTGATTTGCTATGGCATGTAAATACGTATATTTTGTGTGATCTCTAACACTTTGAAGTTCGAAAATTGAGATGTTATCAGAATCGGTCCACTAGTATTCAACGTAAAGAGAAGACAAGAGCACCTAGCCATGAAGCAGTAAAGCTGGAGGTACATCTAGTTTCAAAGTGGACTTTATAAGTGTGTGACCATCAAGGGGATGAAGTAAACTTATATGTATATCTCTCTGCGTCGCTGACCCTAGATGAGCCTCACACTCTCACAAAGAGCCCAGAGGTAGTCTACTCGTGTTGCGGACTGATGAATGGATTCTACACTGCTTCATGGCCGATAACTCTCGCCTTTTCGGACAAGAAACCCAATAGCTCATCTTCCCGCTTCCTATTGTTCACTATTCGAAGTGGAATGGTCCTCGTCATCGTTGTCGTTGCCGCCGGTCGGTGTTTTTTCGGAGGAATGCCCCAAACCTGGACTTCACAACTATTTGCAACATCGCCAATGACTGCAGCATAGGCCCATGCACTGCACAAGTGGGCAGCAGGCTTGCTCAATCCATCCTGTGGTTAATGTTGGTCTTCTGAGCGTGACATAGACCTAGGTAGCAGCCCATGACGAACACGCTATATCCGATGGGCCTGGTAGGTCCACAAGTGCGGGTTGCGGCTTTTACAACCTGTGAGAAATGTAGCATAGAGGGATGAGCAGCAGCGCTCTAGACTGACACCAACTATATTCTCTAAATATGTAATGATGTAACTACGAAAGAGGGTGTGGATCGGGCCTAGGGGATAAATTGCTCCTTAAAAACTTTCTCAAACTCCAACTTCAGCTGTAAATCATTGTCCTGTCATTTGTGTGTGGAATATTGCAATGTTCCTGTGCTACTATTATTGGATTATAGGAATGAGCTTGATGGTGACAGATGTTCGCTCATTTCTGGATGTGGTTGTGTGATGTTTGGTAAGCCTTTGTCAGGATCATTGTTTGGATAGTTGAATCATTGACATCCAGTCATCCTTATGTAACTATTGATCGTAAGCTTGTTTTCAGTTTTGGCTAATGTTCTCATTATTTTGATCATTTGATGATGAAATTCCTTCCTCTTTGTAACTCAAATATATGGCTCCTTGAGTGTAAAGAGGTTATTGAGTGGTGTATAAATAGAGAATGTGATGCAAAACACAACAAGAAATGAACTCAGTTGTGCTTGAGGCACACCTTGCTTTCTGGTAAGCAAACGCATTTTTGAATCTAGATGATGCTGGCACGCCTCAGTTGACGTGTTCTCCCCATGAGTTCCATGGAGTGCAAACCATATTCTGTCTTCTGCTTGAAGATTTAGAAAGCCAGGCTCATGGAAAGCCATAGATTGGACCACGAGGCATTATCTCAGTCATATCACATTCAACACTGCTAATTCCAGTGAATCTGGAATTATCAGTGTTCAAAGCAGGTCCTTATTTTAAAGGCATTACTGACATTGTTTTGCTTTCCTTAAAATAACCTGTACTACTTGGGGACCATTTTTTTTATTGTGTTTGTGTTTCTGTAAAATGGATAAATCCTACTAAATAGTATAGCCTGTTAGGTAGTCTGAGTCATATTTTCTGACTGCATAAGACTAAAATGAATAATAACAATTGTAAAGATTCTGGCCATTCGACAGAAGTTTTTAGGTGCTGCTAAAGTTGTCAGAATTTCCACATTAAAACCATTTGAGTTTGCCTCAAATCTAAGCTGTATTAGATGGCAGCCAAATTCTTTCTCTGATGTCTTGGACATTGCCGAGATTGTTAGATGATCCTCAAGCTGCACCAAGGTATAGTCTAGGTGCAGCTCCTCATCTGTATCTCCCTGTCTTCATTTAATTTTGCAAGAATTGGTTGATAGTAGTAGTACTTGAATCTTCAATCCACGGAATGCACATTTGAGTTTTGGGAATTCCAGATATGTTTTTTCATATTGATATTTTGTGGATATGAAAATATGCTGCTGGCTTTCAAATACAAATAATATTCATGTTGACCATGTTCCACTCCATATTGACAGAGGCAGGCCGGGCCAGCCAAGCTTTAGAGATTAGTATATATAAGTAACTGATTGCTTTTCCTTGGTGAAGCCCCGGTTGAATGATTTTACAAACCAGTATGATGATTTCTGTCAGGGGCGATCCATTGTAAGTAGTAAGGTGGCGTCGCTGAGAGGCGAAGCTACACCCATTTGTTATTGTTTCTTGTTTCCCTTTGATAGCCGGTCCATTTATCTCCTTTGACTCTAGACTTCCAGCCATCAGTCATAATGCCCACTTTCACTTGGGTCAGGAGGTTTGTTTGAATGAGCTGGTGGTTTTTTTTGTGAGATCAGACCAGTAACATTCCAGCCTCTGTGTGGGTCAAGCTAAATTTGGGTGTCATCAGAAACAAAGAGTAGGGTTATGCTGGCGATAAACTCTGGTTTGGGCGGCTCTTCTTCCTTTTCTAAGCATATACATTCACATTTCTCACTGTGAGACTCAAACGCTGTGGATGAAGGTCCTGGTTAAGGGCTCCAGCATCATCTTGGTTTAGCCAATTGACTTGGACAGGCATGTTCAGAGGAGTTTGAACTTTAATATCAGAAAAGCATCCATTTGTTTAGCAAAGCAAGATCCATCCATTTCAGGGGAACATTCATGGCTGCATGGACCTTAAGACCATAGAGCATCCCATTGGGGGATGCTCCAGTGTCAGCGGCGGTAGCAGTGTTGATATATATAATTGCAGATGCAGCAGGGTCCCTGGCCATTCCCTGGAGTCTTCAAGAGAGTGAATAAGTTGCGATATTAGCCTATGGAGGACCGAAATTGGGGTATATCTTCTCAACAGTTCCTGTGCCAAGCGAGACAAACTGGGTAAAGTAGGAGCGTTGTGCTTGCGACCGAATTAATAAAAAAGCATTTTCAAAGTCCTTGACTGGAACTTACCAGAGGTTGCTTGAACCTCAATATTTTTTTCCCCTCAGGAGTGCCTGAGCAGATCGTTGCGACCCTCAGGTAAAAATCGACTGGATCGCCCATGACCCAACGGCTTTAAGATGCGTTCCTTATATTCAAGAACATTCTTATATACACTGGCCCACTCAAGGTCACCTGTGAGGTATATTGAAGTCAATAATGAAACTCCGAATGGTATATTAATGGGTGGAAACAAAGCACTTAAACTCAGGTTAATTTGGGACCACCTGGCAAACCCGTCAGAATACCACACCACGTTGGACTTGAGGACTTAGAAATGCATGATCTTCTGCGAAATCTCGAATAATTGATAGATACGCTAGTGATAGAGAACCAAACTATGGCCGGTGTGGGCTGGTACAAAATGTATATGGAGAGGTGAAAGGGAACGATGTTAAAGTTGCCCTTTGCTAAATGTCAAAGCACGTGACGCTAAAGGGGCTGCCACCCGGGCAGTTATTGAAGTGAGGTCAAATGAACGAAGCGAGGCAGATAGCCGACGAGAAAATAAGGAACTGGAAAACGAAGCTAGAACGAAGGAAAGAAGAAACCAAAGCATGGAGATGTGCTTTCAGAACCTCTGGGGTTTTGGCTAGCATCCAGCTTTGAAACAAAACAACAAAAGTATATGTCCTGTGCATACTTTGTACATCATATACAAGAAGATCTGGATACCATAAGGCTTTCCAAAGCGGAATATCTATGCAACTCCGCTATGCTAATAAAACATACCTCCATGAAGAAAGAAACCATCTTGGCATTAATCGATCATTAAATATCGGAAATAAGCATCAATCGGTCCTCAAAACTAGCCTCGGTCCCCTTCGTGGCGGGTCGAGTTTTCGCTCCCAGAGGCTCGCTCGACCCTCATGTCCGTACCCACTATTGAACTCTGCGAGCCCTTGTTCAGGTCTCCGTGAAGGTCGTATATATAGGTTAGCGCACATATGAGCGTTAACTGGCAGCGAAAGATTTCCTGCGCTCTCTGCGCTAGACTCTGCTTTACAGCCAAAATCTTTATAAGATGCGGGTTGCGCACGAGGGCGGCACGGGCCCGGTTCCAGAGTGTGGTTTCCTTCGTTAGAGCTAGGCTGTCGCCGAGGGTTATTATGACTATCCCCATTTCTCAAAGGCCTTGGATTCCACTGGTTTCTTCCACGGACGGAGTGTGAATAATGAGCCGCAGGAGGCACCTGCAAATACTTGGACGGAGAGAACTTGGAATCAGATTCTTCCACGGGGCTTAGCCTTGTCGTGGCGCGGCTTGATCTGGTATTCACTCCCTCTTCATCCGACGCAGTCGTCTCAAAGCTAGTAGTCGATGACGCGACCGAATGACGCATGCGAAATATGTGTGAATCAGTTTTCCGGCAGTCCACATGCCCGCTAAGTTGTGGGTGAGAGCTGGAGTGTAAAGATGATAACTCTACAACTGAGCCTTTTCTGGGTATCTGGGGTGACGCTGTCCCGTCCACAGGAGTATGCAAGACTCCCGCGAATGGATTTGTAAATTTGACCGTATTTGGGTGAGTTCTGACTTCCGGTGACAAAAAAGAGTTGTTCCCCGGAAAACCTCGGCTCCATAGTCCACCTTCTGTACGCAAATCACAGTCTGATTTAAACATATCCAAATGCTCTTCAGGTGGATTTGATCTGCGGTAATCAGCGTCTTCCTCGAATATAGTGACTGCACTTGATGGTCGAGCAGACGCTAACTTTTCAGTTATAGGATGCGGATGAACAACTGTTTCGAGATCGGGCTTATCTGGAAGCAGGCGTGACACTGTTCGCATCGAGGAAGGGCTTTCGAGCTCTATGTCATCCGTCTCTGCCAGCTCAGAAGGGGTATAAGGCCTTTTACCCGGACCAAAATCACTGCTTTGGTAGCCAGAATGAAACCTTAGGCCAGGAATGGAGGTCAGTGGCTCAAAGGTCGATCGGTTATAAGCGCCAACAGGGGTACTGGGAATTCGTGGCAAGCTTTTACGAAATAGCCTCGGCGATGGTTCTGCCATTGTTCCACCAATTTCGAACAGCTCATTTTTCCGACGTTGGAAACATCTGCGCCAACATAAGACGAAGAATGCTAGCAGTCCTATCCCAAATAAGCACGCTGCCCCCACTCCAACGGAAATGCCAATAATTTGATTTCGGGGGAGAGAACCAGAGGGAATTGCCACTGTCGTCTGCGCTGGCATGGAAGAACTAAGAGTGAAAGACATCGAAGCATCTGCGTTTATTTTACTTTCATGACTCGCGCCCGGTGTTGAGGTCGATTTTCTGGTAGAAGTAGCCAATGCTGTAGGTGTGATATTCGTCCTGGTCTTTTCATGAGCAATATCCTTCGTTGATGAGATAATTGACATGGTTATTTTCGATGTTTCCATGGATCCGATATGTGACGAGTGTGGGACGGTATGACTGGGCGTAAGTGTGGCAATAATAGCTGTATGGGTGTTAGGAACGGCAGCGAACACATCCCGGCATACATTATAGACTCCGAATTCTCTATCCTTTGGAGAGGGACAAGATGCCAGGACGCATTGCAAAGCTGCTTCCCCAAATGCGTAGCCTGTACGCGATTTTTGAGTGCACAAACAACCCAGGCTCTTCGTGTCGGAGCAAATTGACGTTGGATAATTATGCGATATAAAATCTTTCAAACACGATAACGAACATGGAGGAACGATATCCTGCACAAGTTGTTGCCCGGCCCTCGGTACAAGCGCAGCACCAGCGACTATATTGGGGTATCTCAACAAATTACTCAATATGAGAATTTGAATTAAGAGGCGCATCCTGCTGCGGCCTTCTTTTGCGGGTGCAGGCCGTCGCCCATCTACTGTGTATTGTACCCGGAGCGTAGCTGTCCGATAGGGTCACAGAGGCGGGGTGACAATCGATCTTGAGCTACGCCATGGATTCGGACAAGGGAAGGAGGTTAACAAGGTCTGATATTGGTGCCGCCCTATACGTCGATCGACCTGCACCAGAAAAGTGAGTGTAATCTTGCACGCACATAAATGAAGGAAACAATGCACTGCAAGGAAAATAGGACATAATCTATAGAGATTGAAACCTCAGGGAACGAGAGCCATGAGGGGTTAAGGGGAAGTGATATTCAGCGGGGAGAAGATTCCATCTGAGTGTAGATGGAAGCAGCAAACGCTCCAATGAGATTGGATGCCATTGGAACACCTTGAAGTGATGTCAGAAAGACAGGCAACCTTGCAGCAAGGAGGCTGCGTTCTCCTGAAGAATGAGGGCGACGGCGAATCGGAACTCGTCTTTGAGTTGATCATGGCATTCGGCAACCTGTCATGCATGGTCCGATTGGTACATATCCCAACGATCAAAGACTTGGAGGGCTGAGGATTGAAAATTCCATGCAGCGGCAACAGTGGAGGCAATGGCAGCTGGCCGTTCAACGGCATAGACGCCGTGATGAAACGTCTATGTCAACGGCCGACGAGTGGGAAGCGACGTCGAAGCGCCCGTCGGCGATGTGATGAGCGGCCAATCGCATCAAAGGTTCCACGTGACCAACACCAGGATTCCGCTCTTGCTTGGGAGGGTTTATCGGCAGCACACAACAAGGGGGAGATCTTGGTTGTCGGTTCTTTATCTTACATGGCTTGACTGTTCAATGCAGATTATGTACGGAGCATGTGTGTGACCTCGTAGGCAATGATCGAACTAGCCGCGACTCTCAAGAAATGGACGCTACAACACTGAAATGCATCGGTGCTGGCAAGATATAAGGATCAATTCTAAGACAGTAACTTTTTGCTTCTTGACCTCATGCAACGGAGGCCGGATACATCGGGACTGCTAGCCGGGAGCGGGCCAATTCATTATGGATGTCATTGCCAACGATGGCACAGACTCAAGAAACAAAAGTACCGCAAGAAATAAAAAGAGATAAGGAAAGTTGGTATCATATCAAAAAAGGAAATCAGAAACCAGCGAGACAGGTACGGGATACAAGAGGACAGCGCGAAACAAATACCGATCATTAAAGCGTGGGTTAGCCTCCCGAGACATGGGTTTCCAAAGGGCTGCAAGAGGAAGAAAACAAATTTCCAGACAGAGCAAAGCTGTCACTGCCACCAGGACAGCATCTGCTCCCTCCCCATCGTAAGCACTCGTCGGCTCATTATTAACATATCATCCCCTTTCAGCGTCGTCTGTATACGGACCGAAAAAGTAAATGTACTACGGACTCTTTCGAAAATCTCCAGATCGGCGACCGACACGCTCTCATTAATACTTGAGGATAATGTAGCTAAAATAAATGTTAGTATCCAAGTCAATCCTCATTTAAAAAGATTAAAGAGAAGACGGGATGGTACTGACAGAGCATGGATGATGCCGGGAATATAACCCAAGATCGTTAAACAGATGTTGATGAGCAAATCGGCTCCGCAACCACGCTCAAGGAAGACACCAAGAGGCGGGAGGATGATGGCAAAGATGATTTTACAGATATCTCTGTATGAGAACGATGAGCCATATGTCGGACAGGTCCCGTGCTCGGTCCCAGTTGGAGGGCTTGCACTGACCCGGAACGGTCGGAAGAGGCTGGGAAGATGTGGGGAGGAGTATTACTTACGATGCAGTGAAGGCCATCGTGAAAGATTGGGTCGTCGGTCACCAGATAATAGATTGAAATGACCGTTTATCTCTAGTGGAAATAGTCTATGAGAACAGGATATCAAAGTTGATTTTGGAGGAGGAATAATAATAATCAACAGTCATGCGATGAAGCGAGAGGAAAAGTACCCAGTTAAAGTATTAACACGGTTTGAAGCGAAGCTAGACCCACTCCAGCTCTTTCGGCCAGTAGAGATTCCTTGGCATTCGAGATCATGCGCAGCAACTTTCCCTGAGCAATGTAATGCCCGCCCGGCGAGTACATCCGCGCTACAAAGCTTCTGTACTGCCTTGCACATGCAACCTGAAGTTACGCCGATGTCTCCGCTGCCCCGTGAGCGTCGCCATTCGAGTCCTCTGATGATGCGTCATCCGCTCAAACCCTGCTCCCAGCGCTCCATCCTCTCCCGCCCTATAAAACGTCATCCCCTCACCGCCACAGCAAGCATGTGGCGCGGGTCCACTTGTGCCCAGTCTGTTTGTTTGTTTTGCCCCGGTTTTAGCTTCCCGTGCATTAGGAGTGGCTTCGAACCTACCAATCGCGGGCGGGCTGTGCCTCAGCCTTGCATCTCGCCTGAGATCATTGCTCTGGAAATCACGGTCCACCTTCATCAGGGTATCGTCACCCTGGTAGAGCATAATACATAATGAAGTCGAAACAAGCATTGCCCATGTCCATCTCAGCATCATTCCTTCTCGACCTGACTCACTGTTTAGTTAGTTGGTCATCCTTGCATGGGAGTCCAAGCATGGCTGAATCTTGGATTTCTGCCGACATAGCCATCGAATCTGGCCACATATCGCCTGCGGCATGCAGACTATATGGATTAAGGATTCAAAAATACAAAACCGTGGTGATCTTTATTCCTCCTCCTATGTATGGAGAGAGGCTTCTTGAATCCAATGCTTATATAGTACAATTCTTCGTCAGAAGCCGTTTTACGAACAATAGACTCCATGAGAGGTGCCAACCTCATGCATTCTCTCCTGGCAAAGGAGAATTTAGACTGAAAATGATAATTCTGTTGGCATGAAGTTTAATAAGCTGGCTATTATGTGGTGGAGCTATGTGAAATGCATTGCTAAACTTAGGTTCTTTGAGAGCCAAAACCAGCCGTACGATCATGAAGCAGTTTTCCGTAATGATCGCAGCCAGTCCAATTCAATGCAACACGCAAATTCTATAGATATGGGACATTGGATTTACGTGATTACTAGAATTATGAGCGTCAAGACAAATATGAAACCAAAGCATTTTAGTATTTGGCTACAGCATTTCGCTACCTTGACATCAATTTCATCATAAAGACAAGGGGGGGAAGGAGGGAAGGAGAGAAGACAGACAAGGTCATCATTCATCACAATCGATGCCATCCAATGCCCATTATCTCGCCTTAGCATCATTTGGGATATCCTCCAGCCCTTCTTTCCCTTGTCTCCCCACATTTCCACTCGGGGCCGTTTCCTTCTTCGTCTCATCCCCAGAAGTCCTCAGGCTACTCTCCGCCGTTACGGGTTCCCGTAAACCACTTGCCTCTTCCCCTGTTCCCACAGATGACGCTACCGCGCCAGATCCTCCGCCTGTAGTTTTCATATTCGCTGATACAAGTCCTGATTCGCCAGCTGGTTGTTCGGGAAGGGGCAGATTGGCTTTGCGGCGGTCGATGTCGGTTTGCTTATCGGTTGTGGAGTCGATAATGGACTGGTTGGATGGTTAGATGGGAATGACCAATTTGGGAGAAGCTTTGGGATGCACGGGCGTACCTTCATCTGGGATACGTCTGACCCCGAGGGAACATCACCGCCGTGTTGTCCGGAGACTTTGGACTCTGCCTTGCGAAGCTGCTCCTTGGTAGAATGAAATGTTTCGCTCGTGCCAGACATTCTGGAGAAGTTTGATAATTATATCAGCAATATATGTTGGAATAGTTAGTTATGAAATGGAGGAGGTTAGGTAATGATATGTGGTCGGCAATTTGGATGGAGACGACTTCTCCCATTGCCCCTCAACTGCATGCCTTTTATATCAACCTGCACGCCCCTGCCTCAAACGTAGATCATCCCTGCAGAACCATACATCGAGCTAGGTGATAAGCTGTGGCGTGCATCCATAGCTATGACGTTATCTGGCTCCAAGGCCAGGAAACGACGTTTCAAAACAGGGCATTGAGTCGGGAGGACGGTAGGCGGCAAAAGGTAAAAATATAGTAGGGGGCACTCCATCCTGTCGAGGCCGACGTCAATCTGATACGAACCATCTCGTTGGAAAGAGAGGGACGGCACGCGGACGATACTCCGATGTGTCCCTGGGCGGAACCGCAGAATTCTATGGAGCCGTAGCGGGTGTTGTGTGCTTTCACGTGACTCGGGCCGACCTTGGCCGTTAGGCGTTCACCATCACATCGAATGTTTCCTCACGTATCGGCATCATGGGCAACACCCGAATAACAAAACGGAGGCTCGATCTTCTCCGGGGTTGAAGGCCTATTTAATAGATAACCTGTCACTATTCTTTTAACATCCCTCGCAGAATATATCGACTTTTGTCAAGGCTGTGCCCTCTCTCTTCGTCCCAATGACAAATCTGAAGTCATGTGCCCCAAAATACTGACTCCCCGAATACGGAATACCCCGTACTTGGTAAAGTACATATTCTTAAAGGGGCAGGGTGGCTGAAATATGAAGATATAGCAAGAGAGTACTCCGTGTAGCAAGGGAGTACAACGGAGCCACAGCCCTCTCCCTGGAGCGGTTTCTTGTTCGGCCAGATCAAGCCCGCCAAGGCGAGAAGCGAAGCTGTTCCCAATCAGCTCATCCCGCCTGCTAACTATTTAGAAACACTTCGCCGGGGAGCAAGTCATACCTTTTGCACCGTGCTCTCACAATGCGGCTCCGAAAGAATCTAGATGCGATAGGCTCCGAAGTGACCGTTTTGTCATAGGCTGTCAAGAGACCCATGTGCCAAACTTATGGACGAAAAAACCAAAGTGCGGCTTTGTCCCCCCAAAAAATGAAAAGAAAAGAAAAATCGTTACTATCGAAAGCCAGCCTTAGAGAGCTTAAGAACCTTGAATACTTATTATATCTTGCTTCGCCGCTTTTGATACCCGAAGCAATATGTTCGTGACCCCTCTTTTCCGCATGCAGTCGGGTTGCTTGTACCAGGGTTTTTCTTCCATCTAAATTTACTGTGCTGTCTCTTTTACGTCCTCAATTTTGTGTGGAGGTATTTACCTCTACCCCTATTCATCTCTCCTGCTTGCAATGATTACGTCCGCGTCTAATTTCGGTAATTCGTCGTTTGCTGTCGGCCATAATGCTGTCAAGTCAATACTCTTTCGAATTGCCGGTATCGCTGTTCATATTGCCGTTCAAGCTCTTTTCTCTTTTGGAATCGGTGCGAAGCGCATTCACGGCGTACCTGATGTTCACCGAGGATTATATCCAAAGATTTGTGTTCATCTTTTCCCGCGGGTTTAGCCATCATGCCGCTCTTGTCCTATTTCTCACCATCTTCTTGCTTGGCGCCGGGCTATATGATACTTTGCTTTGGGGTCTTGATTCGCCTGGCTATATTGCGATGAAGAAAAACATGACCGGTGCATCTGTGAAGCCTCAGATGCTAAAACGACCGGGGTACGTAATATTCTCTTCTACGAGGCCGGGGGAGGTCGACGGACTTGACAAACACTTTACAGAGCTTATGAACAGCAATTTGTTCGCGTCGAATTTAAATTTCTCTCTGACAGGGGACGTCGCCCTGGGGACACCAGAGATGACTCCGCCCACACGCAAGTTTGATCCCCAAAAAGGTGTCGGGCCGCGAATCTGGCTAGATGACGAAGGGTTCTCTGTGTCACCCGATACATATGTGACGTTTGGAGGAATAATCGACGAGGAGGAGCAGAAAGCATACGACTGCCCTTGGATTCCAGGCCCAGATGACTCGGCTTCATGGGAATGTGCTTTCGATAATAGCTTCGCAGGAACATTTTTAAAGGATACTTTGATCGGTGTGCTAGAAATTCATTGGGATGATGCTACAGACCAACGATACCTCTCAGAGTATCTCCGGCCCAACCGAGAGGATAATCCCTGGGCTGTACTAGGAGTCGGGGGTGATACGGCTATTATGAAGCAGATGTTTAGCATCACAAAGGGCCGAAGCAAACATACGTTTCTTAGCACCGCAATGAAAATCTCCTCGGTTTACGACTATAACGCACCTTTCCCCGCAGATGAGGTATACGACCTTATCAAGAGATCTTGGTCCACAGATCCTACACAGTCGAACGACCCGGTCATTCGGCAGATTTCGGAGAAAATTGGAAACGCCAGCGCTGGTGGAGTCCACAAGGTTGAGAACTCTATCGCCCAGGCCAATTTTGAATTCCTGAATCCAGAGGGAACGCCAGGCAAAGTTATCTTTTCACTTTTCCGAATATCTGTGGTCAATATCACACTTGTTAGGTCGGAAACACTCCCCGAACCCGTCAGGCCTTTTGAAAGTGCGATAGGTTTTATCATAACCAAGCAACAGGAGGTAGAACATATGGGACCAATTGTTATAAGCAGGGGAGCCAAAACAACACTGGTGCACGCTTTTTTGGGGAGATTGATACCTCTGCCGTTCTCATTATCAGTGGCACTCTGGGCGATGGTAGCTCAAATATTAGCTCGAAAGCCTTCAATCAACGAGCCTTCGAATGGCTTGCGAAAAACGAGAATAGACTTGACAATCTCCTCCTGTCTCGAGGGTATATAATGGCCATCGATCCGGCTCTGGTCACCCTTGAAATCAGCAGAGCAGGACCAGCGATGTCATTGTGATTCTCCCTGTTGTCCTCGCGGCTATTATTTGGGGATTGCTATGGTTCTTCGCAGCTTCACACTACTCTTCTTCCCTTCTCTCCAATCTATATGCAACCACGAACGTCGGAGACACAGACACAAGCGCAGATCCCCAGTATATACACACGATGCCGGATATCGACCTAGTCAGGAAAGACGGAAAGGTACTAATGGCAACTTCTGGGGGCGTTTTCACGCACTGTGAAGAAGAGTCAAACGTGGCCAGCGTAAATGTCGCAAATCAAAAGTTGGAGGATCCAAAACGCTCATATCCTCCAAATAATAATTCGTACTATTATGAATCCCCTGCATTGGTACCCGGATAGAATCCGATATGATGGAGTAAAAGTACAACCTGACGATAGCTACAAACACATAGGATCCTAATAATAAATACGTTAAAATTCATTTCAAATCGGTTCACTTGCAAGAGGTACTCCGTAAATCAAACGGATATTTATCTCAGTCCGCATGCAGATCTCAAATGGGGGGCGATCAATGTCTCCCGCTGCATGTCAAAAAATTAGGTAACTAACCAACCAATGGAACGGCCATAGTCGTCATTCTATGTAGAGGGGAGCATCTAGCCTTGGTGGGAACAGTTCCTAGCCAGACTTTTTTCAATAACCATATCGCATGTTAACTGCCTTAAGAACACCCTGCCGATATTTCCCACCACCGCATTTGAGCCCCCTAACACCGCGCGCCCAGTCCAACGAGCCTAATGCCTCGCGATCCACTGATCGGGCTTGTTGGCAAGCCCTCATCCGGGAAATCCACAACGTTAAACAGGTACTATGTCAAACTTCATAAGGAATAGATAATGTCCCAGTGATTTGTTAACATGATTTATTGAGCAGTTTGACAGATGCATCTTCTAAAGTCGGTGAGTTCATGCTTCGATGCTAATCTCGCCCATGAATTGGCTAATCGCTAACTCGAAGATCCCCGCTACTAGGAAATTTTCCGTGAGTGAGCCCGCTTTAACACATTCTCGCATATCTCCGGAGTAGAGGCTTTCATATTTGCCTATCGACTCGGCCCTATGTTCCCTATTCCTAGACGTAGTATGCTGAAATTTCCTCTCCACCTAGCTTCACGACCATCGACCCCCAGCGCGCAATCGGATACCTACAAATAGACTGCGCTTGTCAGCGGCATAACTTGACCGAGAAATGCAAACCCAATTACGGGAGTTGTCACGAAGGTCGGAGGTCGGTTCCAATCGAATTACTGGATGTCGCAGGGCTGGTTCCGGGAGCACACGAGGGCAAAGGACTTGGGAATAAATTCTTGGACGATTTGCGCCATGCCGATGCGCTGATACATGTGGTCGATGTGAGCGGCACAACGGATGCTGAAGGTGGGCGGATTTCGGATCTTATTATTTCAGTTCAATGCTACGGCCCCAATCGCTCTCTAATGCGAGATGCTTACGCGCGCTGTCCCAGGGAAGGCAACTAGGGGGTACGACCCATCGCAGGACATCATTTGGTTAAAATCAGAGATTGTAAGATGGATTCTTGGAAATTTGATGGAGAAATGGTATTATAGCCGTTCCAATCTGGCTAGACAGTGCTAATATACCTCTCAGGGGTTCTATAAAGCGTCGCCATGTCGCAGTAAGTAAGTATTTAGTTGCGACCAATTGATCCACCTCTGTTACCCTCTAACCACACATACAGAAGCGACACCCGTCGAAACATTGCAAACGCAATTCTCCGGCTATGGAGCGACATCGAAGATAGTCGCCAGGTGTCTTGATCGATTAGACCTTAAAGAGCCCCTACAAGATTGGTCTGATGAAACAATTGCACAGGTTGTCGTCGCATTCATAGACGAAAAATTTCCCACCGTTTTGGCATTGAACAAAATCGATCATCCAGACGCTGATAAGGTAACCACTATCTTCTCTCCACGGCCTACTGTCGATTCTTTGCTCATGTCTACATCAGAATATAAACAAGATTGCAAAAGTGCAAGATCCCCAATCCATTGTCCTATGCTCCGCAATATCAGAAGTATTCCTTCGTAAGCTCGCAAAGCAGGGATACGTCAAGTATGTGGAAGGTAGTGAGTTCGTCGACACAAGAGAAGATCTAATAGAGATGGGCGATCCCGACGGTGGTGGCCTCAAGGAAATGGATGACAAGCTCAAAAAGTATGTCTTCTTGCTATTGTTTATTTGAGCTTGAGGAAACCCCTCTGCTAACTTGTTATAGCCGAGTTGAAAACCTGAAGGGTCTTGTTCTATATCGATTCGGGTCTACAGGTGTCGTTCAGGTGCTCTCTCGTGCTGCAGAGCTCCTTGGGCTTGTGCCCGTATTTCCGGTGCGGAATATTCACAATTTCACTTCCGGTTCAGGGGGTGGAAACGCCGTCTTCAGAGACTGTGTTCTAGTCAAGAAGTTTGTTTCCTAGTTTCATTTCTTGAGATGCGCTCTGCTAATCATATCGCAGAAATAGTACCGTCGCAGACGTGGCCCGGAAGGTGATGGGCGATGCACCCATAGCCTACGTTGAAGGAGTTGGTGGTATAAGAGTCTCGGAAGATGAGGTGGTCTCAGTTGGGAAACATGATGTATGTTCCACTTCAATTTCCCTTGATGCCTATGAAGTGCTAACTAGACGCTATCCAGATTCTCTCATTCAAAGTCGGTAGATGATACAGGATATATCAATAGAACATATTCACATGTTAACGCACCAATTCCTGTCGACCTTTTTTGTTGATTAGTATTCCTGAATGCTACTCCCAACCTTTCTGTTGAGTGTTTCAGTTAGTCACCTGGGCACGTAACCTGGTTTAGACTATGTCTTACCCTTCCTCTCTCATCGGTAGTGCCTATTATCGGTCTTGGTGCCTCTGGAAACTCGTCCTCCGGTGTCTTTCCTCTTTTTTGATTTAGCTCCGTTGTTGCCTGACTCTTTGTCCTATCAGTCGCAGCATTTCCCTCTTTCTTCTCCTTCCAGGCAGCCCTTGTCGCCTTCGTCTGCGGATCCGTCTGGTCCCCCCTATCGCTGCGATTAACGCTATGATCTTCAGGCCTCGATCCGGTCCACCCGCTATACCATGCCAGAGGCATAGCTGTCGTGGGTCTTGGAGTGTTTACGGAGGAAGAATGCACATGATAGATTGAATGAAGTCGTCCGGCGAAAAGCGCGGCTGGACGTGGAAACCGCGTTTTGAGAAACATGGTTTCGAACCGAAATTTGTTTATTTTTGATTTTTTTTATTTTTATTTTTTTTTTGTGTGTGTGTGTGTGTCTAAACGTCTATGCGAAATAAATAAAGGTACTATGAGAATTGAGAGGCATAAACTGAATCACTCCCTACTGGGCTTTTAAAATGCCGCTATCTGTTGATTTACAGGGCCGTTTGCCGTGCTCGATGCCCATGCGACATCACTGTTATAAGCTGCGAGATTGACCCATGACGTCATTTCAACGCCTCAGCCGATCGACCAATCAACATCGCCGATCCCCACGCATTCGCCAAACCTGCACTCCTGCTCTCGAGCAAACAGAGTCGAGCGATCCTGCAGGCCTTGACGCGTTGCTTTGTCTATAATAACCAGAGAAAACCTCCTGTGCTTCCCCCCTTTCTCCGCGCCAATGAAGCGTCAATTTCTCCCTATCGACGCTCTTTCCGCGTGGACAAAGCTGAACGGCGTATCCTTCGAAGGGGTCGAAGTCAGACGACTCCATACGGAAGATGGGATTGGCAAAGGTTCTGCGGTATTTGCCACGCGTAGCAGAGTCGCCAAGGACTTTGTACCCGGACAAAATCAAGGGGCTGTTGAGCCGGAGATACTGATGAGTATTCCGGCAGATTTGGTTCTGTCTTTGAATTTGGTAGACACATACGCGAAGTCGGATATGGATCTGAGGGAGGTTTTAGATGCTATGGGGGAGTTTGGGAGGGTGAGTAGTTAAATATAACTGACGTTTTATCAACGTTTTCTTTGTCTTACCTATTGTTGTTATCGTGTATATGATACAGTTCTGTACCTTTGTCTCGAGAAGTACAAAAATGAGATACTGATATTTACAGTCAGCTCGAGGCGCCATATTGATATATCTTCTCCTTGCGCTCACCCATTTGAGTCATGATTCTTCAAACGAATCGAAAGGTCAAGTCGGCCTATGCAATCCGTGGACAGGGTATGTTCAATTCTTGCCAGAATCATATACCCTGCCGACATTCTATACCGACGGCGAGTTTGAAATACTGCAAGGAACATCATTGAAACCGGCCTTGGAGGCTAAACTGGATTCTCTTGAACGAGAATTTGAGCAGTTACGCGAATCGACCAAAGATATTGCCTGGTGCAAGACAAATTGGTGGCACGGAGAGACTGGCAAGCTTACTTTCTACGACTGGAAAATTGTCGACTCCATGTATCGGTCTCGCGCGCTGGAGGTTCCGGGAATAGGACATGCAATGGTGCCTTGTGTTGACATGGCGAACCACGCATCGGGTGAGGATACTAATGCGATGTACGATGTTGATGGGAATGGCAATGTCGTGCTCCAGTTACACTATGGGCAGAGGCTCGAGGAAGGCGACGAGGTTACCATTACGTGAGTTCGCGGTCTTTGGCCCTTTCGGCCTTTCTTGGGGGATTAAACCAATTGATTGGTGTTGCATAGGTATGGAGATGAGAAAGGGGCCGCAGAAATGATCTTCTCCTATGGGTTTCTTGAAGACACAGTCTCAGATGCGCGGCAGCTGTTTCTCGACCTACAAATTCCAGACGACGATCCATTGAAACCGGCAAAGCTGATGGTGTGTGATGATCCTCCCGGCGTCCGACTTTTCTTAGCCTCGAGCCCAGGGATGGTGACCAAAATTAATTGGGAAAGTCCTTTCGTTTGGTGGGCATGTGTCAATGAAGAGGATGGCCTTGGTTTCGAGGTGGTACAGGCCAATAACGGTGAAAGAGAGATAAAAGCAGCTTGGAAGGGTGAAGAGATCGAATCATCCGAGAAATTACGTGATCTACTCCAGCGCGAACCGCTATGGGACATATATCAACTTCGTGCTACTGTAATAGTGCAGGACCGGGTTGCCACTCACCTCGAGTTACTGCAAGAAAGCGGCGAATACGTACAAGAATGGCGTGAGAAAGTCGATGGAGCTACAATTCGGCCTTTGGTTTGGGACACCGTCATGAAACTGCGTGAAATTGAGATGGACTTCCTTGCTAAAGCAAACGATCAATTAGAAGATAGGGTATGTTTTTTCCGTGTTTTACTCTTCCTCCCTCCTGTCTTCCTAATTTATCCTGGCGTTCCCGGTTAACCTTTTTTCGTAGAAGTTAGAGCTGGCAAACACCCCCGTAGTCCAACAATACCTGAGACAATATAGCCCCGGGGCCGATATAGCAGAGGACTTTTCTTAAGGCCATGGGTATGACACAGATACCGCTGTGACGAATTTTTTTTTCCGTCTTGGCATTGGTCTCGAACAATGATACTCCGTACGGAGTACCCTGACCTAATTTAGGGCTGAGAGCGCATCCAAAGGAGAACCGGAGTTCGCTCCAAGCACTGCTAGCACCAGCAACGATAACGTTTCTTTCTATGAAAACTCCGTACTCCGTACTGTACTCCGTAGTGCTTATCCATTGCCCATCCGCGTTCACACTTCAATTTCGGGGATGCGCCCGGTGCCATAAACCAGAAAGAGCTCCAAAGGTTGCGAAGATTTCCAAGTTTTACGGGTACTCTCCTTGTTTTTCCCCTTCAAAATACAATCGAGAAACGCCGACGAAGGTGGCGAACTCTTGGCGGTACGGAGTAGTTATTGATAGATTGGTTGAATTCAGTATCGATTCCACAACATAATCCAGGTCGCTGGATTGGCCAAGAATCAGTGGTGCTCTGGAAGCCCCTGGATGGGGATGGTCAGAGCAACGGGATTTTCACTGCGGCCGACGAGAAGCCCCATCAAAAAAGAAGCTATTGCGGAGTTCTTCTTCGCTCTAATCGGCATCCACCAGCTCTACCCCCACATTCAGGAATCCATTTTCAAAAATCGTCGTGGCAAAGGGAAGATATTCAGGGGACCAAAGAACGGCGGAGGCGAAATATCCTCTATTACATGGCGATAAGACTTGGATGCCGAATCCCATCCACCGAGTCGTCATCGTCATGATCGCCCAGCACAGACTGGATCGATGACGAGTTTACTCCGCATTGCCAACCAAAATATGATACGTAGTTATTCCACATCAATTACAATTTGGGCCTTCTGCGCTCCTTGTGAAGTTGTGCACTCGCTCAGGCATCTCGAAAGGCATGTGTGTAAGTATGTAAGTTCACTCGAAACAAAGAGTGTTAGTAGAGATAGAAACAGGGTAACAGTGAATGCAACTTGTGCTGGAAAAATTGCTGCATCGGAGCAGACTGTAACCACTGAAGTTGACGGTAGCACTGATCAGCGTTACCGATGCAGCCACGAGGCTAAAGGGAGCATCCAAGCACCCTTGAATAGGGGTTTAATTTCTACAGCTATCAAATCAGACACCGATCGAGCTCCCTGCAAGGCCATGTGAACGCCCACGAACCCCTTCACCACATGCCTTTGCTTCATGGGGTGCATGCTAGACAACCCAAGTCTGGGAGATCAGGGAGGGTGAAGCTTGGGCACAGCGTGGTGACAACGCGCACGAGGTTGCCAAGGAAGGTCGAGTGCACAAGATGTGAGTCTGGAGTAATCTGCGAAGTTGGCCCGAGAGCTTCGACAACAAGGTTATGCTGGTTGTTGGGATGTGGGCGAACAGCACTGCTAATAGTAACCGGCTTCCTTTCGTCCGGAGCTTGCTTGGCGGATATCAAAACTTCACCCCCCACGGTCCGCCCCACGCAATTCTGTGCTGCTCGGCCCCGAGAAACTAAAAATCCAGCACGATGAGCCAAGGGACGGTCCAGGATCTTCATAATGGGGAGTACCTGCTTCTTGGATGGATTGTATCCATAATTCAGTCTCTCCCGCCTACATGTAAATAACCTGCCCTCTCCTCTCCAGGGTTTTTCTTCTCTCGCATCAAGGAAACCTACTCGTCAGCCGCCTTTTTCTCCGTCTATCCGACAAACTGACTGCACCTGACGGGATCGGGAGGCCGCTGGCTAGCGCCTCGGAGCTCTCCACTGCGAACGCTATGCCCGGGCTACTTCCCATGAAGGTGATAAAAGTTGGCAACAGCTCGCAAAGTCGAGTTGCTCAGGCGTGTGATCGGTGCAGAAGCAAGAAGATTCGCTGTGATGGGATTCGGCCGTGCTGCTCGCAGTGTGCCAATGTCGGATTTGAATGTAAGACCAGCGATAAGCTGAGCAGGCGGGCCTTCCCGCGAGGATACACGGAGTCCTTGGAGGAGCGTGTCCGGTCGCTGGAGGCGGAGGTGCGGGAGCTCAAATGCCTGCTGGATGAGAAGAACGAGAAGATTAATATGCTTTCACGGCTACCTTCAAGTTCACCAACATCAAGAAAGTCGCCGCCTCGCTCATCCGACCCTGCCGTGATGCACCGTTGCAATGACTCGTCTACAACTGCGCATCGGGATGAACTTATTCACGTCCAGAATGCGTCTTCGTTGAGAAAGCCGAGTCAGGATTCGCCTTTCATGGGTCCGTCGAGCACCAGGGCTTTCTTAGGTACTGGCCTTCCGTAGCCTTTTCTTTTTCTCCCTTTCTTCTCCCCCTCCCCCTCTCGCCGACAATGCTGACCCGTTCCAAGATGCCTTCGCAAGCAAACTCGAGAGAAGTGGCCAGTCATCGGCCCATATTTCCTTAGATGCAACGATTCCTCCTCCGTTACACACATGGCCGCTTCAAGATTCAAGGCTGAAAATGCCGCCTCGACTTGTCTCAGATCAGCTACTCAACATTTTTTTCCAAGAATGGGCACCTCTCTATCCCGTTGTCCATCGCCCAGATATCCTCAAAACCTACAGTCGATACACATCCAATCCCCAGTCCATAGAGAACGACAAGTACGCATTAACCCAGCTAAACCTGATTTTTGGAATTGCCGTGGTTTCTTCAACTGTAAGTCCCCCCTTTTGCTTCCGTCTTTATCCTCTCAAATCGAGTTGACCTCTGATTAACTATCCTGATAGCCCCGCATACCTCAGGACCCTGTCTTTTTCGAACGGAGCTGGATCCCCAAACTCGAAGCATTGTCCGAGGATATCTCTTTGTCTGCCCTTCAATGCTATGTTCTTGCAGAAATTTACTACTCCCTGAAGTCGGATTATAGGACCCTCCTACGCTACAGATCACTGGCAGTTGCCTTATGTTTGCAACTTGGGCTTCACCAGAGCCAAAAGAGGTTTTCCTTCAATCCCCTCATGAGCGAAACGCGGAAAAGGGTGTTCTGGTGTCAATACTCTCTTGATCGGTATGATATGACAACCAAGGCACCATCCATAAGCCAAAACTCCGGGCTTACTGTGTTATTAGGTTTGCAGCCGCCTTGACTGGCCTTCCGGTATTGATGGCGGAGTCAGATATCTGCACCGAATATCCGTCCGATGTTGATGATGAGAATGTGACTGAGACCGGCTTTATCCCCACCCCTCCGGAGCAGTCGACTAGAATATCCAGTGCTTTGGCCTTGTTTTCAGCCTCTCGGATTTTGAGCAAAGTCCTGGAGGAATTGTATCCCTCTCCCGCAGGCTACGAAATCTCTTTACCCACCATGCATTCGCTTGCAGAGGAATTGGATGACTGGCTAAAGAAGCTGCCGTCCCATCTTCGGGTCGAATTCGTTCAAGATAAACCCACTTCTGGCTTTACTAGCGGCCGTGCGCCTATTCTGGTACGTTCACCACCTTTTTAAGGCAAGGCTTGTACTTCAGGAGCACGAAACTAACAGGCCGTCCCAGTCAATTATCTATTATTTTATTCGCATGTTACTCCGTAGACCCGCAGCTTGCTATGGCAAACCAGAAAGTGCTTCTCCCTCGATGCTTCCTCTCGTTGACTCCTCCAAACACATTCTACAGCTGTTGAAACTGCTCGAAGAACGACGAATGAGCCTAACTCTCTCCATCAATAAGCGCGAGCTCATCGTTCTATCCGGTCTCGGAGTTCTCTGGCAAAGCCTAGATTTGAGTCCTGATAGCAAGTTGGTCAAGGAAGGCCAAAAGTCACTCCATGTGGCCATGAGCCTTCTGGAATGCGAATCCGCGGAGGCTGCAGCCGAATTTGGAGCGATTGTGAGCAATTTATCGCCTGAGGAGGCGCAGAGACGAGCCAGTGGCGAAAACCTACAATTGACGGCCGATGTTCCGCCATCCCCGTCGAGGGACACATCGGCTAGAGACCAGCTACTGCAACCGCTAAAGACACGATTTTCTTTCTCCTCGGAATCAGACATATCAACTTATTCTAAAGATAGCGTTCGCAGGTCGAACTGTACCGTTTCTTCTCCGGAGCTCTCGCGCAGTGTGCGATCCTCCAGTCCACCCAGTGGATGCTCAGAAATGTCTGACCAAGCCAAACGAAATAAGAGCGAGTGCCCTGCCAGTGGTTTGAGCATGGACTATCTGCAGCTTAACGGTGAGAAGAAGCAGGTTCCAGCAGCATTTGGCGGTGGAATGGAACTGTCCGATTGGGAGCATGTCCTGAGCGATATGGACAACGGGCATGCGAATATCTACAACGGGATATACGGTGCCGGGGAAACTCCTGCAACGTTCGCCACTCTTCATTCGGGTTATCAGCGGCCGGCTCAGGCGCCACAGCAGCAGTCCTCCCCAATGTCAGTGATACCGTCAATCCCTCCGGCGCAGCACGGATGGCCGCAGGGGGGCTGGGGGTCAACCCCCGGTAACAGACCGGCGCCGAATAAGCATGGAGAAGTCCCCAGCACCCAGACGACAATGGCGGACGCATACGAAGCGATCATGATACCCCACAACCTTGACACCATGGACGAAAGCGGTGCAGACTTTGCGATGACAGATTCCTGGATCCGGCAGTGCGTGATGTGATCCGACATGATTTATTTATTCTCTTATTCGAATTTGCGAGCCACAAGAGTTGGAGTTTTTGACGGGTTTGTTTGGCTCGATATTATTCATACATACATTCATACATATACAGTTTCATGGTTGGGTTTGGGTTTGGCGCTGTCTGCTGGCGTTGTTGTTGGAACATGAGCACTTGTTGCGAAGGGAGTATGTATATTTCATATAACCGGGCCATTGCTGGCCGGATGTACTGTGTACTCTGGCTTTGGATCTGCGATCGTTTTGCTCAGATATGGATATCCGAGCCAGAGATTTGAGCTTTATAGCTACCTCTCGTTTTTCCTTTTTTTCACTTTCTCTCTCTTTTTGGACCATCAGGCTGTGACAGCTCCCAAAGTGTTTCATATTTCATGTGACCATTTCAGTGTCTCAGTCTTTCCAGTTCGTGGACAATCATGTCTTCTTTGTCCAGCTTCCCTAAAATGTATGTTCCGGCCAATCATGCACCCAGCAGGTTCTGGGCCAGGAACTACCTCAGAAAATAACTCTCAAAGAAATTGAATTTGCGTGAATCTGGAATCGAGAGGGAGAGTCAAATCCAGAAAAAAAAGGGAAAAAAAAAAAGGAACAAAAAAAAAAAATGCACCCAGGAAAAAAATTCGTAGGAGCCATATTCTGATTCCCTGCAGGGATGGACATCGGCCGTCCGAGTATTCCCTTACCACTCCGAATGACAGAGTCAAAGAATGTGGGCAGTTTCCTCCTCCCCTCCCCGGTTTGGCTTCTTTGGCGTTCACAGCGACAACTGAACCTGCACAGATCCTGTCACAACGCATCTGGGATGGAGCATGGAGCGCGGCGTTGTGACGTAACGGGCGGCCAATCCCTGTCAACGGTGCGATGACTCAGCAGCTACTACCGGATGCGGACTAGCGACGGCTTTGTCATCCACCCCGCCGCGCCCCACCATCGCCAGCAAGGTTTTTGCTGCGAGAAAGTCGCTCCCGAAACTCCAAAAGTCTCTGATCTTCCTTCGCAACGTCTCCTGTCCCTTTTATATCCCCCTCCGTTGCTCTCCTCCATTCCCTCTTCTGCTTCGTCTTTGCCTACTTTCTTTTTTTTACCTCTTTTTTTTTTCCCAATTTTCCCTTTTTTCTGCCACTCCACACTCTCTTGCCAGTTGGTTCTGGCAGCACTTTCTTCCCTCTACCTCCCCCGCTTAACATATCTCCGATCTCGGACATCATGGGATATACGGATTTGGATCGATTGGCAATCAACACCATCCGGGTGTTAGCTGTAAGTGACACTCTTTTTCGCAATTGCTGTTCCCCTGTTCCATCAATTGAAGCTCGTGATGCAAATTGTCTTCATATTGAGTATTTCTTTGCGTGCTGCTGCTTAATTGCCAGAGCATACCCGCGAAGTGGGATGTGCGGGGGAGTGATGGCAGACCCTGGTCACGGCGACCACCAGCGCACCCACCAGCAATACCAAGGAAATGCTTTAATCATGGCTAAGAAAACAAATTAAATTTTTCTCTCTCTTATTGTTACAGGACTATTTATCGAGTCATATTCAATTCTAACTGCCCTGTGCAATGTCCAGGTCGATGCCACTTCGAAAGCCAACTCCGGGCACCCAGGTGCCCCCATGGGCCTGGCACCTACAGCCCACGTCCTCTTCAACAAATTCATGAGCTTCAATCCTAAGAACCCTCAGTGGATTAACAGAGATCGCTTCGTCCTTTCGTACGTTACATCGCACTTTTCCACACCGCTTTCGCTCATGGTCTTACGGCGTTGCATGCCAGCTGCAACCTTGAGCCGCGATTTAGCTCGCGTTCATTGGCTCGTTAAATGAAGATCTTATATACTGACCAGAGACACATATAGGAACGGCCATGGTTGCATGCTGCAGTATGCTCTCTTGCATTTGTTCGGCTATGAAGTCTCTCTCGACGAC